TTCATCATATTGGACGGCTAATGATGAAGTTTTTTTCCTCTGGGGACACGAACGCTAATGTCCTTTCCGCATCTACTGTCAATCAATGGGATTCAATTTAGTGAACACGCAGTATTACCCTGTCTATGAGGGGATGTGGGATTTTGCTGGATGCTGAGTTGAGCTTGAGGCAATCCCAACAATGAGCCAGAGGTGAGAAGCAATTTATTTACTTTTTATGAGATAGAAATGGCTTGTGGTTGCATCCACCCACATCGTGAAAGCTATTGGTTTTTTGTATCGGGCTGCTTAAGAGACATACACTTAATCTAATGTAGCCTGGACATTATATTAGCATTGTGTAAAAGGGCATATTCTGGTAAAGCTTTAGTTGGATTATAGTTTTTTTTATCCTATATAAGACAAATGGTTGGTTGTGAGAATCCAGAAAGTTGTGTAATATTAGTCTTATGGGTTTAAAATACCTTCTGAACATTCAGAGCAAGCTGCCTTTCCACGAGATAGTCTCAATAGACATTAATAATTAATGCTTTACTGTGGAACATACATGAGAAGGCCATGAAGTCTCTGGCAACAAATCGTGACCTTCCACCACAAAAGTTACAGAGGGCTTCTTTTTAAGTGTTGTTATTAAGTCATGCTTGAGACTGTTGTGTTGCTACAATTACAAAAGTATTAATACACTCGGAACTCTTGCATATTATGACATTTTCCAGCCACAAAGATTAAGATTTATTTTTTCATATTTTACTGAAAGACCCCAACAAAGTAACGAACGACTGCTAAAAAGTCTGATACATGATTCTTAAAAGTGGTGATTTGTAAAAGTAATCATGAGTTCATACAAAAAGGAATAGCTCCAGCAGCTTTCCTTGTCATGGTGTGGACTTCCTGTTAATGTATCTGGTTTTATTTTGATATACTTTTGTTCTCTTGTTGTGAGTTTTACTTCCTGTCTGTCTAGTTGATTGTTTGCCCCTCCCTGATGTGCTACACCTGTGTCTACCTGTGTGTATTTAGACCCTGTGCTCCTGTCCTCTTGTTGACGGTCCATTGTTGTTTTCCCCCCATGTCTTGTTCCCGGTCTCAGTTTTTACTTTTTGTGGCATCTATAAAATTATATTATTTTGGCAGTTCTGCTTTTTGGTCCTTCCTCCCTGACATTTCTTACAGGATTAGTTATTTTTCTCAATCCACCTTTCCACCAACCCCACACAGCATGATGCTGCCACCCCTATATTTGACACTGAGGCGCTAAAGGTCATGAGCAGAGTTAATGTTCAGTTTTATACGTATATGGCTGTATATTGCTGTGTATAGCTCATAATACTTTTGCAAGGCACTGTAAATGTAATGTTAATAATAATGTATTGGTTTTATATAGCACTTTTCAGGACACTCAAAGACACTTCATATGTCATTATTTATTCACTCCCTACATGGTGTGCATAATAACAGATTATAATAACTTAACCTTGAGTGTCTTTCGGGACACTCAAGGGCAAAATACAATTATAATGCAGGATAGTGGAAATAAATACTGAGAAAAAGTTTGTACTTTGGACTGGAGAACTTCACCATTGAATTAGTGGACTAATTAAAACTACTTTTGTTTTCTCATTATAAAAACCTTTTGGTTTTCTGAATAAGGAAACTAAATTCGGTCTGTGTTTTTCCAGTCACAGTGGCCTCCTCCTCTGGGACACAAGTACAGTTAGGTGCATCTGTGCTTTCGCTGAAATGATCTCTCCCCAAACCCCAGAGAGCCTTGCACCATACTGCTTTTATGTCTGCAATAAAGAACAGCGTTATTTGTCCTAAAAGCTATTTCCCAGATGTGCACAAAACACTCATTTATTTACAATGGCCTCAAAGTAAAAGGAAGATAATAGTAATTGCTTTGGTATGGGTAATATTTCAGATCTAGTTCAGAAGACTTGGCAATATGCACTTGTGATGACAGACGCTTGGTGGAAATGGGGCATGACCTTGAAGGAAGCAACTATCATATGCCAAGTGAATCTCCGCATGTCACACCCACAGGGAGACGAAATGATGGCTGCAAATGTAAAAACAATACCAACTACATACCTTTTTGCATGTTTTCACTAATGCAGCCATTATGGAGCCATCCTTTCCTTTACCATTCTGCTGATCTGGCACCGAGCCAGTTTGCAAAGTACAATGATGATGGCGAAAAATAAATTGATTTCTAACGGATCTGCTATCCTCACTATGAAATATGCAACTGGCTATTTGTCCAACGGTGATATTAACATAATGCGACAACCGTGCAGAGATGTTTCATTAAATATGTCCCTTGTGCTTTCTGTCGCAGTTCAAACAGACTGAGAAATATATTGTGACTTATTCAAGACCATGCTAATCCAGAAATCTAGATCAATTGGGTTCATCTGCTTAGTTTTACCTCACGATGAAGTGGAAACGGACTGTTTGCAGCAGGTGGGGAATGAAGCACTGTATCTAATGAAGAATGTACATTTTAGAAAAGACGAGACATTTTAACACCCAGTTATGTAAGCGTCTATAAAGCAACTAGAGAAAGGTCATCTGGTGTGAGAGATAAGATATTACAAGCAGTTATGTCGTCTGTTGCCATGGAGCAGAACAACTGACAAACAAGAATTACCTGTTTAATGAAATACAGTATGTAATTAGCTATTGGGTTTTTTCTAGCTGTTTATAATTTGTTTGAGTTAATTGTTAAGTGGGGGAAATGAATGAATTTTGGCCATCTTGGCCTTTCAAATTGAGCACGATATTTCAAAGTAAACAATATGGCAAAACATAATAACTTCAGAAACAGATCTGAGGTTACTAGCACTAACTGAATTCCTTTCCGAAAAATGACTGAGTATAGTTCACTATTTCTTTGACTCCTACCTGTGAACTTTCCTCTCCACTGACGAGAGTCGTACTTGTTCACATGGAAATGCGTGGCTGCAATCCTCCACAATATGACGTACATAATGCATACAACTTTTATGGTGCTTTTCAGAACACTCCAAGATGATTCACACAGAATTATTCATTCACTCCATACAGTACTGCTGAGTGTGACAAACTACTGCTGTAGACCCAGCTGCCCAGGGGCAGACTGGAAGAAGCAAGGCTAATCTATCCGTGCCATCGGCCCCTATGGTCACCACTAATCATTCAAGATTTAATGATCGTCCCAAAGAGGATTTGTCTTGGACTCAGGCTGCTACATTGGAATGGACACATAAGTCAGAGAATATGATACAGTACCAGACATAAACCATCACCGCTCTGCTTTCAGGATTTCACAGATACAGGGATCCACGCACTCGTTCACACACTCCAGTTGAAGCTATATATTTCAAGAGAGGATGTTCCATATGATTTAAACTCTTGTTTCCACATTATGATGCAGGTGAGTTTCTACCTCTCCAAAGCCCACACTACTAATATTGTGTTACGTGATCAGAAACTGCTTAACAAAACCAAATGATTAAACTTATTGGACATACATATTGTTGCTGTAAATATTTGTATAATTTAGCAAGACTTCAAACTTGTAAATAGTTATGTTTTCTCAAAAAGGGTTGCTATCACTGGAACTGGTCAAAACAACAACTACAACCTTTGTATGTTGAGCTGTCGATCAAAGAGCTTCATAATGAGACCTTCAAACACATCTCTAATCAAGTCTATTAATAGCCTCACTTCAGAATAGAGACAAATGGAGCAGCATCAGGACTTGGCAAGTATAGGGAGGCCAAACTGTGAGCAAATAGTCTCTAAAGCTGTCACCTTTGTAGTGGTATTCATAAATAATCCAAGAAAGCAAGAACAATCATCATCATAAATCCCACGCAAATAAAGCATCAGGCTTTCTATTAATCTGTAACTGTCTGTAACCTAATACTAGACTTTTTATTTAGGAAAACAAGGACTATATTTTCACCTGTTCCTGCAATGCATCTTGCTCTATACTTAATCACACTCCTCTCAGCTCCCCAAGAGAGACGCAGACAGAAAGAAAAATGCTCCTACAACAGCAGGGAGAAATAACCCCTCAGTGTTCCACATTATGCACATGCTAATTGACCTGTCATTTCTGGGCTTCTCACTTTTGCTCATTTGTGCACACGACACTGACCTAAATTGGAGGTGTTAAGTTCTGTTTGACTTTCCATCTCCTTCAAGTGCAGGACTTGAACATGGTGTTTAATATCAGTCTATACTAAAGTATAACACAATCTTTTATATACTTATTTATTTTTTCAAGTACACGTTTATAGTGGCATTTATGAAATTGAGTTTGTTTTTTTATGATGACATTAATCAATATGACATTTCAAAAAAGTTCACCTGCTCATATTGTCGCTCAATGACAAATATTGTCAGCTGACCTGGTCTACAGTATGTCAGTGTGGGTGGAATCGATCTTGCCTGAGGACAGACCACAAGTGCATCCTTTAATCAATAACTGTATGTAAACAGTCCCATAGACACTGAGTTTGTTGAGGACCTATTGGAGATTTCTCTCAGAGGAGCCCTAATGTTTGCAAAGCACATATTGAATAGAGCGAAAGAGTGATGTAGTAGGACTGATTTGAGTAGTTGTGGTGAAGGACAGACAACATGTGTATCCTGCCCGCGGAAGACAATAGGAGTTTGTTTGTCATCAATGTTATCAGAAAGTCAGTTATGATTAGATGCTTGGCAAATGTGTGTTTATAGCCTAATTAATAAAAATATAAAACTTCCTTGACTGTAATTGCGTGAAAAATTACCAGCTGGGAAGGCATACAATTTTAGGTGCAGTTACAGCTGGGATCTTTTCCAACTTTCCCGGAAAAGGAACGCTTTTATGATTCCTTTGAATGGATTGCACTTTGAAATGTTATAGAACCTCTTCAATTTCTCAAATAGTTTGCGCAAGAAGATCATCTCCAAGAGCTAATAATAGATGGGTGGTTTGTTGTGATGTCCTTGGTCTCTCCATCACTCACCTTGCACAGAGGCAGCGACTCCTCTTTGCAAAGACCCGCCACCATCCGCCTGCTCTTCGTGATCCTCCGCGCGTCTTCCGTTCACCGCGTCCAAAGACGAACGCACTCGCTCCCCAGTAGTTTCCGTGGAAACGCTTTTATCAAAGACAAAAGTGACGCGTGCTGTGTATATTCTCCCTTTTCCCGCGAACACTGCCTCTGTTAAGTCCCTGGTAGTCCCGTGCTCCCCTGCTCTCCTTTCCGCGGCGCCTGTTAATTCTCTCACTTGACAAACTTTAGATCAGCGGCGGCAGAAGAGGAGAGATCCCTGCGCGGAGCCGCCAGACTGAAGGTAAAGGCACAGCGCGCTCTCCTCCGGTGCGTGCAGTGAGTGCTGCTCACACAGAGCCGCTCGCGTCTATGAGTGGGAACACTGGGAGAGCGCGCTCTTTACGCACGGTGCGCCAGCGTGACTATATCAGCTGTCATGATTTACGAAGTGCATGTTTGGATCAAGTGTCAAAATATCAAGTCTTTGACGAGAACGATGTTGCGTTATACAGTTGAATTCTGCAAGATCAATTTTATGAGGATTTGTTTTCTTGTGTGGCTTTCATTATGCAGACAATGCTTACGATGGGATATGGACTAAATAACACACACATGCGTGTTTTATTGTACATATTTTTGCTAAACATGGTGCAGCATTTGACCTCCTTAGTCGCGATGTCTTAATTTTAGCCTCACCAGACTGACCATGAGCTTGGACTGTGATAAATCTAATTCATGGTCATTATGTGTGACTGACAGTCAAGGGGCTCTACCCTGGATCCCAAATGGCAACAGTTGTTACAATAAATAAAATGCATTGTGTCACAAATAAGAAACCATGTTTTTAAGAATCCTGTAGTTTGCAAACATAACTTTAGAAAACAACAGTTTATTTTTAGAAAGCATTTCACTTCAGGTGTGAAGAAAAGCCGCTAGAGCAGTTCACTGTGAGAATCATTATGTAAGTTTCTGCTCTTTCGCTTTTGTTGTTTTGGAATAAACATAGCATCTGAATTTCAAAAGAACACTGAGATCCTAAATGTGAGACTTCCATGTTGTTATTTTTCCCCTGGACTTTCAGTGCTGTGTTATTCTGCCCAGTGAAAGGATGATTGACCTGAAGACAGACAATAAGATGTATGCTTGTGTCACGCTATAGCAACAGAGTTTGAGAGATGACCAGCTGAGAGTGTCATGCCCCTTTAGCCTCTGGACTGTAGGCATTTAACACTGCGTTTGACCTAAAGAACGTGGACATGGAGAAGTACACTGCCTGAACATCTTGAGAATGTTATGTGGTCAGATATCCTGTCTCCCCACCCACAGTAATAATATTGTGTTACATGAACAGAAAGAGCTTATTGACACCCAATTAATAAACTAATAGAACATTTGTCTGATGGTCATACACATGTCCTTATTTGAAGCAAGTAGAACACAGCAAGATAATAACGCGGATCTGGACATTCCAGTGCTACAAATGTATTCAGTATACTTTGTGTATGTTGTGGCCCAAGGTCCTGTAGCTGAGCCACTGTGGTTACAAAAGTGTGTATGGTTTTCCTGACGCGTGTTCCTGATAAAAGTAGTCCAATCCACTATTATCAATGACAAAAGGTTCTTATTTGCCAAACATTCCATTAAATACACTGTCAAAAGACATTACCTCCACACTATGCAACACCTGTTTCCACTAATCAGTTTTCTTAAATAGTGGGAGGTATTCAGCAAATCTAGACTACCCTGCCGCATAGTGGTAGGGGGTATATATGGCGGCTACAGTGTATGAGCCTACATTTGATAGTTTTCTGAATGGTTGAAAAACTCCTGCACGATTCCACCATAATCCATGAAAGTAGGCAAGGCAAGTTTATTTATATAGCACAATTCATACACAAGGCAATTCAAAGTGCTGAACAAAACAAGAAAGCATTAAAATCATAAATAATCACAGAACATTAAAAAGAAAGATAAAAATATAAAATCCCTCAGTTGTATGCACAGCTAAGTAAAAAAAAAAAAAAAAAAAAAAAGTACATGGATTGGGGATCTCCAACTTATCTCTGGAGCTCTAGTAGTCCACCACCCCTTTGCAAAGAGCTCCCCAAAGAATTTTGAGTTTACATAAAAATGCAGCAAATTCCAAATTCATGATTCCAAATTCATGATACTTTTTTTGCAAAAAAGTATTGTAATACATTAGAAATAATTATGCTGTGCTCTCCATCTGGCTAGCTGTCATCCTTAAATAGACAATTATTCCCCCAGATGCTTAAAGGAGTTGCTCTCTGCAACTTTAGTCCTGAGAAATTAACTCTCACAGTAAGGACATGCTCTCACACTGTCTCACTCTGCAATCATATTGATAAACCATAATTTCAGCCAAATTCCTCCATTGTTACAAAAAAATCTATAACCCAGTCAGAGTCGACCCAAGAATGATTTATACTTTTATACTACTTTTCTGCCGAAGGGTAATATTGTGGCTTTCTGTGAAGTCGCATCCTTCAAATCATAGATATAGTAAACTGTCACAAAGCTGCAGTTCGATCTTGTGATTTCAGAAGCATTGTGGCACATGCCAGCACAAATTGTCATTACACTTATAACTTGGAGCTCTGCTGAAGGCATTGTCAATGTCTTGGCCTTTTTCAATCGTTTTCATGCTTGATTATCCAGTCTTTGTGAAACGCCACTTCCATGCTGCTCTATGTATTCATTGTTGGAGCATGGGCACCTATTACAGGCTTTCAGAACACTGACAGCAGCTCTTGTCAAGGAAGCCATAACACTTTACAGCTCTGACAATGTACCACCACGCACACACACACACGCACACACACACCACACAAGAGCGCACTCACTGAACACAAATACGCACAAACAGTGACTCAATGCACTGTGAAAAAGATGAAAGGGCCAATTTATCAAACCAGAGCGCTATCCAAGGCAGGTCCTACAGGCCAAACACGCACGACACAATATGGAAGTAAGGCTCAAACACGCTTCCCTTTAAGCTCAGTATGAAAAATGATATGCTGTGTCTGCTATGAATACATGGGCAGGTTTTCATGTTGTTTCTAATCATTACCCCATGTTTATGTATGGGCATTTTTATCATCAGTTCCTATAGGCGGTTGTTAAAGAGCTTGAGAAAAACAAAAAACAAAAAAAACGCTGTATATATGAACAATAGACAACAAATCCAAAATGTCTGCACAGTAGATATTATTCTGAGAGACAAAGACCTTTCTGTGTGGGGTTTGCATGTTCTCCCTGTGTGTGCTGAGTGTGTGTTTGTGAGTGCGACTGCGGGACTCCAAGTGGAAATTAGCACTTGGCTACAATCTGTGTGTTTACTGTATTAACCAACTAAAACAATACAATACAGTTCTGGTCACGGGCCATAGCTGTTTTAGGTCCAGAGAAAGTAAGTTTGCGTTGAAATAGAAGGAGTGTGAAACATAATGAAGGAACTGGTGTTTTTCCCCTGTTATTTCACATTGAGCTTCTGGATCAATGCTCGTTCTCTCTGCTTTACAACTTTAGAAAGCCTAAGCCAATCCACTTTTACACTTATTTAAGAGGTCTAGATAAGGAAGGAGCTATGCCTACTAAAATACTGGTTTTCACTGTAAAACATGGACTTTTACAACTGTATTTTGATTCTTTTTACAATAGAATACTACAATAACAAAAACAACTTTTAACGTTCAAGCTAACCCATAGTGTTAAGTTTAATACAGTAGAGTCTGATTTGAGGTAGTTCAAACAGGCTGTTCGGGCGGGAATGTGGAGCCAAACGGATGCACATTTTGTGTGTAGCAGCGGCAGAATTACTGAGCGCCAATCAAGAGCAGCTGGTCTGTCCACTCTTGCATTATACTTGTGACCTAAGGCTGAAATCTTTGACATAAGGCTCCTGACTGGACAGTAATTTGGGCTCATATCTGGATTTAAAAAGACAGTATCACAAGCAAACACCCGTGATTTTTTAAAAGTCCATAATGGTGAGTGTGACACAAACATTTATTGAGCTCAAGGAGTTTACTTTCTCATATGTCCCTTCCCTGTTGGGCTTCATTGAGATTGTGGGCTATACAGTGCATGGCTGCATCTCTTATTGTATTTCACCATACAAAGTGATTTTTAACCATGTACGTTTAAAGAGCAACTAGGCTGGTAGGCGAAGAAAACTGCAATTTATTTCAGATCAGGGAAACAGCATTGCACCGCGGTTAGAAGTTCATATAATTTGCATCGGATGTCACCTTAAATACCAATTATCCCACCAGGACATTTGACTAGAGATTAAAGCCAATCTCTAAAGCAGAAAGTTCATCAAAAGGACATCGATGAGGAAACTTCATCTGTAGCAGAGAGGGGATGAAAATGGCAGGAAATAAAAAGGAGCCGTTAGATTTGAGTTCCCGGGCCAAGGGCTGTTTATATTTAGCAGAGAATTTGTGAGTGTTTTTATGAGAGGCTGAACATTTCAAACGGTAGCCCCTGGTTTTCTGATGTGTACTTCAGAGCGGTGCATTGGCTGTGCTGCTCGCTCGTGCCGGCTGGTTTGGTTCCAGTGTGCAGGGGAGCCTGTTGGCCCTGTCTGTGGCGGACTATCCAATATTCCACTGTATCTGAAAACAAAGAGGTGAACGCACGCACTCCACGCTTTGATGTGCCCCAAGCACAGACTCAGTGTTCCACATGGCTGGGTAGATTCACTGGACCCAACCTGTTCTCTTCTGTTTGTTTTTTCAGCGGCAGGCAGGTGTTTTTATATCAACAATAACCACTCTAAAGCAGTTGTCTGAGCAATATACACAACTCATAAGACAAGACAATTTCTTCCTCATTTTAGTTATAAGTTATTGGGCGCTGCCATTTCATCTCGGGTCCATGTGAATGTTAATGTCTAGAACTTTTCACTGTATTGCATTATATGTTGTATGTGTATGTATATTGGAGATGAAGAAGTGAGGTACTTGAACAATTTACAAGTCCTATCCATT